AATTATTTCGTTATTAAACTTAAATTAAATTATACTAAAAAAATTAAAGAAATTACAGAAAAAATAAAAAAATTTAAATAGTTGATTGATATTAATTGATATATTTTTTTTCCAAATTTATATTTTATTCAAAATAGTATTATAACAGATCGACAGAGACAAATAATAAAATAGAACATTAAAATTGAGATGTCTCTCGCTGCATTGTGCGAGTAGTCTTCTAGTATAGTATATATATGCATTAATAAACAGTACTTTACGCATAAAAATGGTTTTTAAAAGTTTTTGTCAAATGCTTTATAATATAGTATAGATATAGATAATTTCTTTAATTTATTTTTTTATTATAATTTAATTTAAATTTAGTAATGAAATAATTTAATTTAGGTTTAATAATATAATTTTTTATAAAGATAATAATTAAGTATTCTGTTTGAACTCAATGATTATCTTAATTATATTTTAGATTTTTTATATTTATATATAAAATGAGATGTTTATCCTGTATTTGATTATGTTTATCTGCAGTTAGTTACATGAATTCAGATATTGAGCTTTAATAAATTGTACTTACGCACAATCTACTTGCAATCTTGAGTTTTAAGTAATATGTATTAATAAACAGTACTTTACGCATAAAAAATGGTTTTTAAGAGTTTTTGTCAAATGTTTTATAGATTCATATTACTTAAAATTCAAAATTACATTGTAAATTGTACGTAAGTGCAACTTATTAAAGAAGTTAACACAAAGTTTTTTCAACATGGAATAAGAAAAAGGTTCTTAAAAATAGAGAAGACAAAGATTTTAGGTATAACTAATTTTCCAAAATGAAAAACATATGAGAAAGAGAGAGTGTGAGATTCTCTAAATTCAAAAAAACACTATAAAAATGATTATCATGAGAGGTAAATATTTTTTTATTATATTCTTATCAATAAGAAAATTTAGTATTAAAAAAATAATTTTTTTAAAAAAAGTTTGAGTTTTGATTCTCAAATTTATACAGATTTTAGAGAATTTGTTAAAGTTGTTGTTATAGAACCATATAGATTTTTAGCATCATGACAGTTGCTTGTATTTTCTAAAGAAACGTGATTTGAGTCCTTGTATTGTTAATTTCCTCTTAAATATTAAACACGAAAGCTGTATTAAAAAAACCCAATGTTAAAAGCCAAAAAAAAATATCACAATGGTATTTGAACATGTGCCTTTATTGATCAGTCGTTTTAAACCAACCTACTTATATTAAACTTTTATCATAAGTGTAACTTTAAAAACTAGTGTCATACTCGTCTGTTGCTCGGGTATAAAAAGAGAAAGAATAAAGAGATGAAAAAATAATGTTCTACCCGTCTAATTGGTAGCACTGGTCTTGCCTCAGAAAGAATAAAGAGATGAAAAAAATATCAGTGGAAATATTGATCGAACTGAGAAAGAAAACTAACCCTAATCTTGATACGAAAAAAAAACGGCTTCGATTCTTCTGGTTTCAAACCCTTCACTCCTCCACCAAGACGGTAACAAAAAAGTCAAATTCAATTAATGCACAAGCAAAGGGATTAAAAAAGGAAGTTACCTTGACGGGGTCAATAGGGTCGAGATAATTAGGGAAAATATGACAAGAACCATCGTCGAAACCATAGATGAAGAAAGCTAGAAATCAAATTACGGAAACCATTATCCATCTTGCCGACAAAAAGAAATAACAAGATCCCGCTATGAACAGAGATGATCAAAAATATGCAAACCAACAGAAGTAAGGAAATAAGAATTTTATAATAAGAGAAGAAACCTTGCTTAGATAGGGATTTAACATTCGGTCCACTCGACATTTACTAAAAATTATTAGTTTCGTTTCACTGGTTTAAAAGCGCAAGAAGAAAGATATGGCACCTGAATGAAGACGAATCGCCATTTGAATATCGAAGACAAGTTTTAGGGGATTAGAAATTTCAGTGGCTTGATGGATTTCACGGTGGAAGTAGAGGTTTGTTGGGTTTGGGAGAGAGTGGGAGAGAAAGTAGGAGGTTTTGAGAAGGTGGACCAGTGGTTTGAGTTGGACGTGGAAGTTGAACCTTGTAAGAGCTGTAGATGATGCATAATGGATTGTGCCTCTGTAAATTCAATCGAATATTATAATGTGTGGAATGAAAAATGAAAAGTAATGGATATAAGATAAAGTAAATAAATAATTATAAGGTATAAAATATAAGTTTTTAAAATTAATTTACTACGTATTTATGTTATATAATAATATGATTAAGTCCAAAAAAAATCAATATTTAGCCCATTTTGAAGGTATTGATAAGATTATTATAATGATATAATTTGTAAACAAGAATACTTATTTTTTTTAAATGTATTTTAGGGTCTGTTTGGTTCATGCTGAGAATGAAAATAGGAATGAAAATGAAAATAACATGGAATGAAATTTATTTCCCCATTTTTAATTAGGAGTGAAAATTTGAGCTTCTAGAGGAACGAACTCATTGTGTTATATAATATCAAACAGTTTCTTTTATTTTCATTGTCATTGATTACTGTTTAATGTCTCTGATCAAACGCCCCCTAGTTTAAATATGATTATTTATGTTAAAATAATAAAGGTGTAAAATGAAAAATAAAAAAGTAACAGATATAAAGTACACTAAACAACTAATTATAAGAGAATAAATTGTAATTTAAAAATTAAAAATGATTTGACTTTTAATTTTATTTTTGAACATGGAAGTTTCATGGAGGTTGTGGAGCTTCAAAACTTATACACTACGCATAAAAATAGATACTTCTTAAAATTCAACATGTAGCTGTTTAGTGTGCTTATATATCCATACTATATTATAAAGCATTTGACAAAAACTTTTAAAAATCATCTTTTATAATGACATATTGTTTATTCATGCATATTACTTAAAATTCAATATTACAAGTAAATTGTTGATAAGCTTATATTTAAACATGTTTTTATAATGAATCTAGTGCATATTGTAATGTTTATATAGCTTATAGAACCCCTTTAACTTAGTTATTGATTGGTMTTTGATAGGTGCAAAAAGGATGGATTTTAATACAAATAGAGCATRTATTTCGAAACTGTTACAAGGTCAGGCATAGTTTCTGAAGGAATATGAGGCTGAGCATATTTATGAAATGCGTTCTGGAAAGGCATACGAATTCAAATGGCGTGAAAAGRAAGCATAGTTTCTCAAATGTTTTTATTAAAACCCATCAACAGCCCAACAAYCCAAATAGAGCCCAAATCCTCTCCACATTTTTGGATCGAACAAAAGCAGACGTGAGATGGAGGAGATGGCAGCAGTTCGTGAGCGAGTGGGGGATTGAGYGAGCGAGTTCGTGCGGTTCGATGGAGAAGACGTGGGGCGCGATCGATGGGAAAGGAGAGGGATGTGATCGAAAGCAAGGGGGCTGGTTCATTATAAAAGGCGAGGGAGAGAGACATCAAGGGGGTTCGAGGGAGAAGAAGGGGCTGTTGGGTGGAGACAGTGGCGAGAGTGAGACGCGGAAGAAGCTTGTTCGATTGGAAGGACTTCACCATCAATTTCTCATCACTTTTGGTAATTTCTTTAATTTCTTAGTTTGTTAACCCTAGATTAGTCATGTGTGGCTAATCTCTTCTTTCCAACATTAGTTGCTTAGATTTTGATTGTGGTTACTTTGAGACTCCATTGTAATCRTTTGGGATGAAATTATATGTTTGATTTCCATTTTAATGTCAATTTCATTTTGAGTATTGAGTAATCTGGCCAATTTCTTGATGTTCTTATGAAATAGTGTTATTCAAAAGTTGAGATACGTAATCGTCTTTACATTTTGATAAAGTAACATTTAAATCTATTTGGTTTCGTTGAGGTTTCCAAATTAGATTTTTGAAATCTTGCATCCAAAGCCTCATTAAG